TCCTTGTAAATCTTTTCTGAACCCTTTCAAGTTTCACAACATCCTTCCTTTAAGAGGGAGACCAGAATTGCATGCAGTATTCCAATAGCGGCCTAACCAATGTCCTGTACAGCCGCTACAAGACTATCCAACTCCTAGACTCAATGCACTGTACAATAAAGGCAAGCATACCAAATGCCTTCTTCACTATCCTGTCTACCTGCAATTCCTTTCAAGGAATCTTTCAAGGAAGTATGAACTTGCACTCCAAGGTGTCTTTGTTCAGCAACACTCCCCAGGATGTTACCATCAAATATATAAGTCCTGCCCTGATTTGCCTTTCCAAAATGCAGCACCTCACATTTATCTAAATTAAACTCCACCTATCACTCCTCAGCCCATTGGCCCACCTGACCAGAAGAGAAAATGACAGTTTTCTAGCAATGACTGAAAACAACAAATAATGGAGATCATAGCGGGTCAGGCAGCATCTGTGGAGAGAAAGCAAGCTAATATTTCGAGTCCAGATGACTTGATGTTGCTCAAGGAAGAAACATTAGCCGGGGCACTGAGGAGAACTCCTTCTGCTCTCTTTGAAATAGTGTCCCGGTTCCTGATAACCAGGAGAATAGACAGGGCCTCAATGAATATCTCACACAAGCACCTAGCACAGTGCAGCACCTCCTTAGCTTTGCACTGAAATGTCAGCCTAGATCAGGAGTGGGACTTGACCCTACAACATTCTAACTTGGAGGTAAGACTGGAGATACAATGATGGGCTGAATAGCCTTCTCCTGCTCCATGACAGTTTTGTGATTCTGTGCTGCCCACTGGGTCACAACTGATACTAGCACACCTCTGAATGGCAGAAAACAGCTTTCCACCCTCCTGGCACACAGACACGGGCTCACACCGTGCCACATTTACACGGCTCCTATTAGCTCCCTCGTTTCTCAGCCAAACAACTGCCCTGTCTGTTGAACTGAAGGTGGGAACACGGTCTAGTCTGATCCATAAGACTATAAGAAATAGGGGCAGAAGGAGGCCATTCAGCCCACTGAGTCTTCTCTGCCATTCAATGAGATTGTGTCTGATCTGATAATCCTCAATTTCACTTTCCTGCCTTTTCTCCATAACTCCTATATACTTAATGATGTCACCTCCATAGTTCTCTGTGGTGAAAAATTCCACAGATTCACTACCCTCTGAGAGAAAAACTTCTTCCCCATCTTTGTCTTAAACGTAAGACATTTTATTCTGAGATTATACCTTCTGGCCCTAGACTCTCCCACAATGGGAAACGATCTCATCCCATCTATCCCGTCATCCTTTAAGAATCATGTATGTTTCAATAAGATCTCCTCTCATTCTTATATATTCCAATGAGTACAGACCCAGTCTATTCAACCTTTCCTCATAAGACAGTCCCTCCATATCTAGTATAAGACTAATGAACCTTCTCTAGACTGCCTCCAATATCAGGGATCTTTCCCTAGTTTAGGAGGCAAAACAGCTCATGGTATTCCAGCTGTGCCTCATATAGTTTTAGCAAAGCCTCCTTATTTTTACACTCCATTCCCTTTGGAAAAAAGGACAAACTTTTCTAACATTTTCACAGGCCAGGTAGAAATCTGAAGTGGGGTCATGTTTACCTCTTCGCAGCCAAGGGACGCTGAGGCCAGTCTTGATGTAGAATTGTACTTTAAATGTTAACCTTCTTTCGACAATTATGCATTTCTACCAGATTAACAAAATGCAAACCAAACACTGGGATTCATTTCGAGAGAATAATATTGTAAAGTTTTGATCATGTGATGAATCTTGGTCACAGGCGACTCGGATTACCGTGAGCAGTTATGGTCTCCATCTTATAGAATGGATGTGGAGGCACTGGAAAAGGGGCAAAAGGTGTCTCAAGGATGATACTAGAACTGAGATTACAATTATCACGGAAAATCTGGGGCCATTTTCTTTAGAGAAGAGAAGGCTTAGAGTCCAGTTGAGTGTTGGGTCAATGCTAACCCCCAGGATGTTGATAGTGGGGGATTCAGTGATGGTAACACCATTGAATGTCAAGGGGTGGTGGTTAGATTGTCTCTTATTGGTGATGATCACAGCCTGGCATTTGTGTGGCACAGATGTCACTTGCTGTTTTTCAGCCCAAGTTTTGAGTTTTTATTTTTTGAAATTCATGCTTCCTATTGTGGTAAACTTTATCCAATCTGAAATGTTGCTCATCAGCCCACCCCAAGTGAGAGAACAATTGAAATCTCACCTCCTCTCACATAACGAGACAGCCCTGTTCTACCTCAGTGCTGTTTTCTTGCAGCATCTCCACACTCCTTGATATCTTTCACATCTTCTACATCTCTCCTAATTTATCTTTCTATTGATTTCAATGCGAATGAGATGTTAAACAAGAAGCTAACTCATTGTGGCCTGTTTTCAGCACCCATCTGATTAAATTAGCTGGATGATTTTGGGAGGGAAGGAGTGTCCTGAAAGTTAACTGGATTGTAAAGACTGCTGGTGATCAAACTGCTTCTGATTGAAATAATTTCTACAGGGAGGCTTGGATACTGAGGTAATCCTCCCCCAAACAATCTACAACCAAGACTAATTTCCAATTCTATCATTCTTACATTCACCAAATCCCTTCAAACTGTGACCCTCTCATCCATGAGAGATAGTAGGAACTGCAGATGCTGGAGAATCCGAGACAACAAGGTGCAGAGCTGGATGAACACAGCAGGCCAAGCAACATCACAGGAGCAGAAAGGCTGACGTTTCGGGCCTAGACCCTTCATCAGAAATGGGGGAGGGGAAGGGCGTTCTGAAATAAATAGGGAGAGAGGGAGAGGCGGATAGAAGATGGATAGAGGAGAGGATAGGTGGAGAGGAAACAGACAGGTCGAAGAGGTGGGGATGGAGCCAGTAAAGGTGAGTGTAGGTGGGGAGTTAGGGAGGGGATAGGTCAGTCCAGGGAGGACGGACAGGTCAAGGGGGCGGGATGAGGTTAGTAGGTAGGAGATGGGGGTGCGGCTTGAGGTGGGAGGAGGGGATAGGTGGGAGGAAGAACAGGTTAGGGAGGCTGGGACGAGATGGACTGGTTTTGGGATGCGGTAGGGGGAGGGGAGATTTTGAAGCTTGTGAAATCCACATTGATACCATTGGGCTGCAGGGTTCCCAAGCG